GAGTGCTTAGCACATGGTAAGTGCCCTATAAATGTTAGCTGTCAATATTACTGCCCAGGAAATCTCAACGTCTTGCTTCAACTATATCCTTTATCTCATTGTTCTCTCTCTCTCTCTCTCTCTCTCTCTCCCTCTCTTCTTCCCTCCCTCCCTCCCCTGAATACAAATTCTCCAGCTACCAAAAAAAAAAAAAAACCAAACAAACCAAAAAAACAATAAACCTCCAGCTGGATATTCTCAATGGACACTGCTATTAATTCAGTCATCAAAGGCTGACCTGGGACTCAGTGTTAAGACTCCTCCTTCTGCCCTGGCTGGGTGGCTCGGTTAGTTGGAGCACCCATCCTGTACACCAAAAGGTTGTGGGTTCAATTCCAATCAGGGCACATACCTAGATTGCAGGACCCCAGTCAGGGCACACACAGAAGATGGCAGATTGATGTTTCTCTCTCACATTGATCTCTCCCTCTCTCAACACATATATCCTCAAATGAGGATTAAAAACAAACAAACAAACAAAACCCTCCTTTTCCCTCATCCTCAATATCTAACCTCTCACCAAGCTCTGTAGACTCTGTCTTCTCCTAAAACCATCCCTTCCTCTTTAACGACACTGCTCCTCCCCTCTTAGTAGAGTTTTTCATCACTTCTTCCAGGATTACTTAAGAAGCTTCGTACTGGCTTTGGGGTCTCTAACCTCAGCTCTCTCTGATCCATCCATAACTGCTACAGGGATCTATTAAAACAAAAATCTAATAATGGGTATGTGGGTTTTTACTCTGTTGACTTTTTAAAACTTTTTTAATACTTTCAAAATAAAATTTTTAAATTTCAATTAAAAAATTAGAGAAGAAACAAAAGTGTTCCCCAAATAGTGGTGGTTGTGGGAAGAGGGAACAACAGGAGAAAAAAATTGCAAAAGGGCAGAAAGAAATCTGGGGGAGTGATGGATATGTTCATTGTTTTTATTGTGGTGATGGCTTTTCAGGTATATACCAATGTCAAAACTTAACAAATTGTACAATTAAATAAGTACAATTTATTAACTGTCAATTAATCCTCAATTTAAAGAATTTACACCAGAATAAACTCAAAAATGAATGAAAATTTAAATATAAGTCATGACACCATAAAAGTCCTAGAAGAAAACATAGGCAGTAAAATTTCCAATATCCCACATAGCAATGTTTTTGCGGATAAATCTCCTAGGGCAAGGGAAATAAAGGAAAAAATTTAAACATGGGACTATATCAAATTCAAAAACTTCTGCACGGCTAAAGAAACCATAATCAAAATGAAAAAGGAACCAACCATATGGGAGAACATATCTGCCAATGTTATCTTGGGCAAGGGTTCATACGACTCAACACCAGGAAAGTCAAACAATCCAATTAAAAAATGGGCAAAAGACCTGAATAGACACTTCTCCAAGAAGAATATACAAATGGCCCATAGACATATGAAAGGATGCTCAACACCACTAGCCATCCAAGAGATGCAAATTAAAACCACAATGAGCCCTGGCAGGTGTGGCTCAGTGGACTGAGTGTTGGCCTGTGAATCAAAGGGTCTCCTGTTCGATTCCCAGTGCAAGGAACATGACTGGGTTGCAGGCCAGCTCCCCGGTAAGGGGCGTGCAAGATGTAGCCACATACTGATGTTCCTCTCCCTCTCTTAATTCTTCCCTTTCCCTCTCTAAAAATAAATAAATACAATCTTTAAAAAATAAAATAAAATAAAACCACAATGAAATATCACCTCATACCAGTCAGAATGGCCATCATTAATAGACCAACATGTGCTGGCGAGGATGTGGAAGAAAGGGCACCCTCGTGCACTGTTGGTGGGAATGCAGACTGGTGCAGCCACTGTGGAAAACAGTACGGAATTTCCTCAAAAAACTAAAAATCAAACTGCCCTTGATCCAACAATTCCTCTGCTGGGAATATACCCTTAGAATACCGAAACAGCAATTCAGAAGAACTTATGCAGCCTTATGTTCACAGCAGCACTATTTACAGTAGCACATGCTTGAAACAGCCTAAGTGCCCATCAGTAACTGAGTGGATCAAAAAACTGTGGTACATTTACCCAATGGAATACTACGCAGCAGATAGAAAGAAGAAACTCCTCCCTTTTGCGACGGCATGGAAGGAACTGGAGACTATTATGCTAAGTGAAATAAGCCAGTCCGTGAAAAACAAATACCACATGATCTTACCTATAAGTGGAATTTAATGAACAAAATAAACTAACTAGCAAAATAGAACCAGAGGCATAGAAACAAGGACGAGACTGACCGCGACCAGAGGAGAAGCAGGAGGAGGATAAGGATGGAAAGAAGGGGAAGGGACTAGTCAAGGAACAAGTATGAATGGCTCAGAGATATGGACAACAAGGTGGGAGCAGGGGATGGGCTGATGGAGGAAGGCAAACGGGGAAAGCTGGGACAACTGTAACAGAATAACAATAAAATACTTTTTAAAAAATTGAAAAAATTTAAATGAGGGGGAAAAGACAGTTAATGCACCCAAAAAATCTTAAAAAATACATCTTCCCAGGCCATGGCTGGATAGTCAGTTAATTAGAGCATTGTTCTGATACGCCAAAGTTGTGGATTCGATCCCTGATCACAGGGCACATACAGGAATCAAGCAATGAATGCATAAATAAGTGGAACAACAAGTCAATGTCTCTCCCCCCCACCACTTTCTTTCTTTCTCAAAATCAATAAAAATTTTTTTAAATAACACTTCCTTTGCTTAAAATACTTCAATGGCTCCCATCTTCCTCAACATAAACCTCCAGCTCCTAACCGTGATATAGAAGCCCTGCCTCCTCTCCTGCCATTTCCTCCTAAGTGCCGCCTGAGTCCAGCCACATAAATTTATTTAGTTACTTCGTTGTCTAGCATTCTTAGCATAAGCTAATGCTTCTCTTCTATGACCTTTCACACATTCTATAACTAATGCTCTCATTTAGTTCAGGCACCTTTCCCTGATGGATGCTTGCTCTCAGAGTAAGTGCCTCTCTACTCTGATCCCATAGCACTTGGTGCAGACTTCTATCACAGCATTTCAAGTGTTATATTAGTTCCCTGTCTCTCCTATTGGATTATAAACCTGAGAGTAAGGTTTATATGTTTTTCATCCTCAGTTCTTAGAATGTAGTAAGCATTCAAACAGTTGCTGAACTAAAAGCGAAGGAGAGCATTTAAACATGACTAGTATCAGTTGATTCTCTGATCAACCCTATCAAATTCACTGTTAAGGAAATCTGAGGCTCAGAAATGGTAAGTGACTTTCTCAAGGTCATACCCACAGTAAGTAATGGAGCCAACCTAGGCTGTTCAGACTCCTAAAAGTGCACTTTCATGTATTTATTAGGTCCTCACAGCGTTTAACCCAAATGCCTCTTCAGAGTAGGCGATCAATAAATATCTGCTACCTTCATGTTTACTGACACTTTCAACTTGTCCTAAGGGAGCTTCCATTGCTTTGTCACATATTACATTATAACATATATTAAGAAGACTTCAAAGAATCACAGTATAAAGTGAAAGTGACTTTCCTTATCTAAACTTGTTTTTAACCTAAAAAGATGAATAGAAAGTCATAAATAGAGCAGGGAATGACTAAAACAAGGCAGATCTAACCAACAAAATCCATCCGGAGAGGCAGATTCTACAGATGCTACCACCTAAAAAGAAATGAACCTGAAACAGTTCACATGCTCAGGAGCAAGAATATTCAATATAGCTGGGGCATCTACTAACTTCCAAAACAAATCGAGGTGTTCATTTCAGATATACCGCCCAATAAACTTTTCATCTCTTCCCCCAAATATCCATCCATCTGAAAAACTAAATAACTTAGGACATCCTAGTTGCCATTTCCTCAGCAGTCCTCAGATCTGAATCAATTTCTGCCCTTGCATCAACAACTACTCCACCAAGTGAATCTTTCTGTGCGTTGTAAGAACTGTTCGTCAAACGGGTAACTTACTGAGCAGCAATAGCAGACACTGCATTTAGCTAGGCTAACAAGAAATACAAGTAAAATTGCAGTCCTTATAAACCGAATGTAAACAGATTAGAAACACCAGTGTAAAATAACAATTCAAAAGATAGCCACAAGCAGGAAAAAAAAAAGTATCTGCTATGCAAACATGTCCTTTACCCAGGTTTTGAAAGACTTGCTAAAATTATACTCTCTCCTCCCAACATGGTTAGCAGCTAAACTCTGTAACTTTTCCATTGCTACTTTATTTCTCTTTTACTTTCTAGAGCTTACAATATGCTGGAAAGATCCGGACTGAATCAAGAGGTGCCAGTGGCTTCCCATAAGGGTGCTAAGAAGCGGAGTAGTCCTTGCTTCCTTGCTCCATTCTTCATTCATCATTCATTCATTCATTCAACAAATATTTACTGAACACCTATGGAATGCCAGACACTGTGCTAGGCAAAGTAAAAACGACAGATATGACCCCGGTACGCGTGCAGCTTTCAACTTAATAATCTATGATAGTTAAGAATTGACTCACTGATCTCTGAAACAAATCCAGGGAACCTCAGAATTCGAAAGGACTGCAGATTAACGTCCTCATTTTTCACATATGGCGCCTGAAGTGACTTGCCCAACCTCGCACTCTGCTTCAGTGACATAACAGGGACTAGATAGAACCCAGGTCTCCCGAAACTCCAACCAGTGCCCGCACGTGCTGCCTCTCACTGAGGGAAATGTGTCACGGGTGTTGACAAAGGAAAACCAAACTTCATTGAATTTAGGTCGGATGTCACTCTCCCTCTCCTCCAAAGAGAAGCCAAAATGGGTAAAGGGAGGCGGGAAGCTGCCTCAGTTTCCCCGCAGAGAGGCGACCGCGCAGCCTCGCTGCTGCACAGGCTCCACTCCTGCACTTCCTCCAGTTTCCCCCACCGCGTCCTCTCCTACTCCAACCCCAGGGCCCAGCGGACGACCGTACAAAATTACTCCTTCACTCACAAGGACTCGCGCGAGCAACGCCATGTTCCTCAACAACCATTTCCGGGTGAAGGGTGGGCTTCCGGAGTCCCCTCTGCCACCACCCCTTCACTAGGTCGTCCGTTCGCTAGCGGGTGCCAGGCAGAGACAGCGCAGGCGCACAAGGCTGCTGCCCGGACGAGCGCGCGCTTCCCGGGTGCGCTAGGCTGCCGAGGCCCTTACTGCCCCGGGACACACCTGCCTCCCTCTCTCGACTACGCTTGACGCGTCACAGAGGCTGAAGTCCTCTCTGCAACACCAGCCTTCTGTGACATATGGCTTCGGGGTTTTCATAGCTCTCTCCTTAACCGCCGGCTCCCAACCTTCACTACTCATAGCCTCCTTGTCAGCCTTTCCATTCCCCCCACGAAGTTCCTCACCGCCCTGTGCAAGGGGATTATAAAGGACAGGCTCTCGGGAGCTCCCTTAAAAGAGCCTGAGAAGGGGTAGTAGAGGAACACGGGGCACAGCTGAGTCCTGAGAAAGTAAGGGGAAGGGGACAGTCACGTGCTGTCCTGAGGCCTGAAGAGGAAGGAACTTTTTGGGTTTCTGGTTGTGCGGTTGTTAAATGGAAATATCTTTGAATGCTTGTAGGAAATGATTGTAGAGATGAAGATGCAGAAGAAAGAATCAAGGGTGCAAGGAGTTCCCTGAGGAGGTGGGAGAGAACAGCCTTGGCTAGAGGACCTTTTCCATTGTATCCCAAAAATAGCAGAGAAAAGGTGTCGGTGTCCCTGGGGTTGATTGGGAGCAGAAGGACTGGATGTTGAAGGACTTGCTCCTTTTCAGTCAACAAAGACCCGCTGCATGTTCACTTAAGTGCTGCACACAAGACAGGTGTGGATACTGACTTCGTAGCGCTCATTGACTGGTGGAGGAGGCACACAAAAGTCCAGTAAGCCAATGGAAACATAAAATAATTTGAAATTGTGTTAAGTGATAGGAAGGAAATAACTGAACTAGAGAATAACATGGTAAGCTAGATCTAGAGAATGTAGCCAGGTAAAGCCTCACTGAGGAGGTAATGTATGAGTTGCAATCCAAAGGATGAGAAGGAGCTGGCCACGGGCAATGACTTTGAACACGCTAGCTGATCAGCCAATATTGGGAGAGTGAGGAAGGGAAAGGAAATTCCAGGACAAGATTCCTGAGTGGAAGAGAACAAGGGTTTTTTATAAGAATCCGAAGAAGGCCGGGGTGGTATTGGAATTACTCTTAATTAATTTAAAGATATAATTGAGAAAGATCGGCAGACTGATAGGCAGCGGCTAAATTATACAAGGACTTCTAGATGAAGTCTAGACTTTATTCTAAGTCTACTATGAAACAAGCAGACAATATTAAGCAGGGGAGGACTGACTGGTTCATGTTTAGGAAGCTAACTTCGACTACTGTATGTACAATAGAATGAATCAGAGAGAGTTAAATATGAAAATGGAAGAACAGTTAGTAGGCTAACAGTCTCTGAATGCTAATGATTTTAGTATGTAGTTTTGTTTTTATGCAGAATATAAACATTTCCCTCAATAATCTTTCACATATGAAGGATTTTATCAGCTGAAATGAAGATGCTTTCTGCACTCAAGCAGGTATTGAAAAACAATGATGTAGTGTTTCTCCACATAAATTAGGACAAATGGCATCACATATTAAAAAGAAATAAGAGAAACATTCTTATTAATCAGACTCAAGAAGCAGATGTGACACAAAAACTGCACACTTAATACCAAGTGAATAATTCACACAAGAGATGATTAACTGAGATATTGGAGGCAAGAAAGAAGATTGAAAAGATATTACATTAAAGATGTTTGATTTCCTTCCTGATGGCTTCTATTTTCTCTGTGAACTAGGGAAGAGAGTTTTTCCTACTTGGGAATGCAGATGGTTTGAAATTGTAGTTTGGAAGAGTAGGTATAGCTTAAAGTTTAATAGAGAATGAAAGAAAAGGAGGCCAGTGAAACAAGGAGGATCTAGTTGAAACTAATGACTCTTCACTTTTTAAATTTTAATTTATTGATTTTAACCTGAAAGGTGATACATGATTACATTTTCTTTTCTAAAAATTAGCATGTTACAGGTAAAGCTGAAGTCCCTTTTACTACCGCCTTGAATCCCAATCCCTCCCACTCTCTCTAAAGTTGAGTTTCCTTCCAGATCTTTCTTAATGCTTTCACATACATATCCATATTCCCTTAGAAAATATATCATTCTGGTTGGAATGGGTTTTCTTTCTTTCTTTCTTTCTTTCTTTTTTTTTTTTACTTAATTGACAAAATACATTTTATTCTGCTGCTTTTTATCACTCAACAGTTTCTCTTCTTTTTTTAAGATTTTATTTATTTATTTTTAGAGAGAGTGGAAAGGAGGGAGAAGGTGAGGGAGAGACACATCAATGTGCGGCTGCCTCTCACATGCTTCCTACTGGGGACCTTGGCCTACCACCCAGGCATATGCCTTGACTGGAAATCGAACCAGAGACCCTTTGGTTCACTGGTTGGCACTCAATCCACTGAGCCACACCAGCTGGGGGCAACAGTTTCTTTTTTAAATTCTATGTATGTTGCTCCATATGTTTCCATTTTTTTTTCCTTTTAATAGCTGTTCTATCATATGATAGAGGTAACATATAGTATCCTTTTTTATTCTTATAACCAATGTTTTCTTTTTAAACTTTTTTTATTGATTGATTTTTAAGAGAGACATGGATTTGTTGCTCCACCTATTCATGCAGTCGTTGGTTGATTCCTGCATGTGCCCTGACCGGGGATCAAACCCACAACTTTGGTGGATCAGGGCAACATTCTAACCAAATGAGCTACCCAGCCAGGGCCATACCAGTGTTTTCTTGAATATTCTTGTGCACTTAAGAACAAAAATTGTAATGGCACCAACCTACTTCTATATGATCTATGTGATTTTTTAAATCATGTTTTTTCTATTACAGTTGTCTCAATTTATCCCCTTTTGCTTTCCTCCAACCATCCCACCCTGACCCCCTGTCCCAGTCAATTCCCACTCTGTTGTCCATGCCCATGGGTCATTCATATATGTTCTTTGTTTAGTCCCTTCTCCTTCTTTAAAAATATAGAACGCTTCACGAATTTGCATGTCATCCTTGTGCAGGAACCATGCTAATCTTCTCTATGTCGTTCCAATTTTAGTATATGTGCTGCCAAAGCGAGCACTGATCTATGTGATTTTTCTTCAAAACTATTGAGAACTATTGAGAACTATTAACCCTAACTTAGGATTAATATAGGAGAGAGCTGGTAGTTGAACTACATGAAGGACTAACATCTCTCAAGGTCATGGAATGAAGGTCATCAGGACTAAGGTGATGATATTGTTAAGAAAGAGGTTTGAATGATAGGTCAGAAAATCTATATAGTGAAGGATACAAAAAGAGGAAGAGGCTATTAGGAAAGAAGGGGCTTTAAGTGAGTAAAAGAAAATGTAATGAGCAAAACTGAGTGAGAGCGTAAAGGATAAGAAAATGTGGTCAAAGAGTGATATTTTTTAATTTAACATTTTAGAGTTAGAACTGTTCTGAATGATGACAAAGTGCAGGGGATAACTGTGGATATGGAAGAAAGTGGCTGAAGTGACGTGGAAGTGAAAATACCTGGAGTGGAGACTTTCAAAGAATTGAGAGCCCACGATTTAGAATGGATCATTTACACAGACATTTAGTTGCCTATGATGATGGCTAGATTTATAATGAAGAGGCCTGACATCAAAGTCGCTGATAAACAGAGAGTGTCCACGAAGTTGGAAGCAGCATGACCATATAGCATGAACCTTAAAGAAGCAGCAGATAGAGGGGTAATGGCTTGAAAGTGTTATTGGAAAATGAATGAAGACTCTGTCCGTCTGAACACACACAGGGTATAAAATAATAACAAGCAACTTCCCAAAGAAGGAAGGGCACAGGAGAAGTAATAGCCAAAAAGGAAGGCCAGATTTCAGTTAAGACAGAAAGTAGAAGGAACTTCCTGAGAACAGGCTGAGGACGTATACAAGTTCATCCTGCATGGAACCCATGGAGATTGTGGGTTTCACAGGGCCTCCCTCACAGCGCTCTTTCCCTCTCAGCCTAAACTCCCCAGTGCCTGTCAGCTTCTTCTCACCGCCAGGGCTCATCGGCTCCTTGTCCTCTAAACACTCAGCCTGAAACCCCAGCAATTTCCACTTTCTCTCAAAGCTCCTTCTCTCTCCCTATATTTCACCTTTCTCTTTATACTGTCTCTAACCCTCAGAATTTGTATACTTCCTTATAGGCACCATACTGAAATTCAGTCATTCATTAAAAATATATTTTTTTAAGATTTTATTTATTTATTTTAGAGAGAGGGGAAAGGAGGGAGAAAGAGAGGGGGAGAAACAGTACTCGGTTGCCTCTCTCACACCCCCAACTGGGGACCTGGCCGGAAACCCAGGCATGTGCCCTGACCAGGAATTGAACCAGCAACCTTTCAGTATGTAGGCCGATGCTCAAGCCACTGAGCCACACCAGCCAAGCCATTAAAAAGATATGTATTTGCTGAGCATTTATCATGATCCAGGCTCAGATCTAGATGCTGAAAATACAGTAGAAAATAAAACAAAGCTCCTGCACCCATGGAGTTTATATTTTAGTAAAGGAAGACAAATAATAGACAAATAAATATAATCTAATGTCAGGTATTGATAAATGCTAAGCAGGATAAGAATTAAAAAGTGAGAAGGTGAGCTGTTGTTTTAGATAAGATGATCAGGCAAGAAGACTTCACTGAATTTGGTAAGTGTGAATGAAATGAGAGAGTGACTCAAGTCAATATCTCAGAAAAGAACATGCTTGGTAGACAGAACAAGTGCCAAGACTCCAACGTGGGAGAATGCTCGGGCTCTCCAAGGGAGAACAAGAAGGTTATTATGGCTGGAGTCAAACGAATAAGAGTATGGGAGGAGATAAAGTTGACAAGGTGGCCCTAAGAGGCCAGATCCTGAGGGACCTTGTTGGCCATGGTAAAGACTTTGGATTCTATTCTAAATGTGTGATAATATACGTATAGAAAAATCCCTGGAACGGTACACAAGAAACAGAAATGGTGGTTATGGTCGTTGATGCTGAGGAAGAGGATTGGAGAACCAATAGGTTAGGTATGGAAGGTAGACATACTTTTACTATATAGCCTTTTGTCTTATTTGAAGTTTGTAACATATCTATGTAATTACCTTTAAAATTGAAATAAAAATATCCATGTCCCTCTCAAAATCTAAATCTGAAAAAAAATTTACTCATTGGTTTTATGGAAAATACAAAGAAGTAGAACTTGGTCCTTGCCTTCAGATATATTACAGTCATGAGTCATGGGTGTACAATACACATTCACAATTTTTTTAAAAACAATTCAAAAGAATCAAGTTGGACTCCTATCTCACACTATATGGTAAATTAACTCAATATGGAACATATGCCTAAATTTAAAAATTAAACTATAAAACTTTTCAAAGAAAATATAAAAATATATAGTCATGAAGTTGTGTCAGGCAAAGCCTTCTTAGATACAACAGCAAAAGCACAGATAACAAAAGAAAAATAGATAAATTAGACTATATAAACATGTAAACCTTTGTGTTGTAAAAAGATACCATCAAGAAAGTGAAAAGGTGTGGAATAGGAGAAAATATTTACCAATCATATATCTGATAAAGGACTTATCTCCAGACTATAGAAAGTATTCTACATTTCAATAATAAAAAAATAAACACCCAATTAAAAATGGGCAAAGGATTTCATTAGCCATTTCTCAAAGATATACAAATGGCCATCAAGTTAATGAAAAGATGAGCAACATCATTAGTCATTAAGGAAACACACACACAGGCGCAAACACTCACACAATGAGATACCACTTCCCACAGCCTCTAGATGGCTATAACCAAGCAGACATGTAATACAAAGTGCTGGACAGGAGGTGAAAAAGCTGGATCCTTCATACATTACTGATGGGAACATAGAATGGTACAGCTCCTTTGGAAAATAGTCTGGCTTTTCCTCAAAATAATAAACATAGAATTATCATATGACCTAGTGATTCCATTTCTACATATACATTCAAGATAAATTTACACATGTTTACACAAAAATTTGTATATGAATGTTCATCACAGCTAAAAAGTGGAGACAAATATCCATTGACTGATGAATGGCTAAATAAAAGGTGGCTATAATACAGCAATAAAAAGGATTAAACAAAATGGATTATTATACAGCAATAAAAAAGAATAAACTGATACATGGCTACAACAGGAATGACCCCCAAAAACATTATGCTAAGCGAAAGAAGTCAATCACCAGAGGCTGCATTTTGTGTATGATTCCA